GTCTAGGATTCTGCACTTAATAATTACAGACAATACTGATGTGGTGACAAGGAAAAAGAAATTTGGCATTTTTCAGTTCAGTAAGTCTAAACAAACCACATCATTTTACATCAAGTAGATCATGTTTTACTAGAATTTTCCAGTTTGGCAGCCTATCTTGATCAAATTAACTAAATTATTGCTGCTGTGGCTAGCTGTGAAGGAACACAATTTAAAAAATCTGGTGCCTTATCTTATATCTTCTCAGGTAGCACATCTCCCAGAGATGGTGAAATACCCCATTCTGCTGGGTCAAAGTGATTTTCTCCCTCCTTTACTCCCCTTGGGAGTGGGTCTGTGATGCACAGTGATACTTTGGGCAGAGATAGACTATATTTTTAGGTGTCTTAGTTAATCTTAAGTTAAACTTACGTTAAACTTATTCCTTAAGACTGGGTCCCAAATTTTCTACACCTTGCTGTGGTCTCTGCAGTCATTTACTAAGGAAACATTATTTATTCAGTGTTTGACACACCTGGTTTCTAAAAAAGATACTGAAAATACAAATATACCCTTAAGGAGCTCACAGCATAATTGTAAAACATATCTTTAAGTAAATAATGACAATGGGGTATGGTACCAGCACGACAAACCTTGTCTGGATGGTGATTAAAAAGTTTATCCAAGAGCCACAAGCCCTGTTCTGTTTCTTCATGCATTAGTTCATCTCTGAAACACTGAACTTCATCCTTAAAGACAGCTATCACATTGGTGCCTCACATCTGAAAGTTGGATAAAAGACAGTAAAGGTCCTGTGTACCTGTTCCTCCATTTTTACCTCAATGACCTGCTTTTGCAGGCAGATGTGCAGTAGCTTTAAGCCAGTATCTTGAAAGTGGGGTGGATATAATGATCAATGGAGATGAAAGACACAAATGTAACATCTATTTACATTTACTTGTATCTTTAAAAACGTTTTTAAAAATGCTGTTTCCTCATATTTTAATACTTTCATTAGGACTGTCTGTTGAATGAGCACATATCATGTACAGTATGCATAGTACCCTCCAGAAAGAATGAGAAGTTCCCAGAACAGAGGGAAGTATCCAGCCTTTTTTCCTTTTCAGGGTGTAACATATTGCATTTTGTTTGTGCTTGATTGAGTGGGTTTAGGATTATATTGTTTAAATTAGGGGTCAACACACTATGGTCCCTGAGCCAAATCTGGCCTGCGGCAGCAGCTTTCCAGGATTACCTTTTTCTTTAATATTTCAATAAAATAATTAAACTCCTCCCATCCCACTTATTTTTTGGAAAATTAGTATATGTCTCTGATTTTAGTAGAAAGTGCTGAGTACACTCAGACTGCTATAACAAATTACCATAAATTGGGAAATTGTAAACAACAGAATTATTTCTCACAGTTTGAGGTCTGGAAAGGTGTGGCAGATTTGGTGAGGGCCCACTTCTTAGTGCATAAGACAAGTATCATCTCGCTGTGTTTTCACATGGCAGAAGGGATGAGGGAACTCTCTGGGGTCTCTTTTCTAATAAGACACTAATCCCTCTGAGTGCTCTGTCATCATGAACTAATCACCTCCCAAAGGCCCCACCTCCAAATACCATCATACTGGGGATTGATTTCAACATATGAATTTTGGGAAGACATAACATTCAGTCTAGAGCAGTGCTTGAATTCTTTTTGTATGTTACATTTTTTCTGGTTGCCTAATGCCCCTCTCTTGGCTCAGTTCTCTATCACCTGCAGGTTTATCTATTCCTTATCTACATGACTCCAAGAGTAACTATTGTAAGACTTTCTTAAGACTTGTGGTTAACAGTTAAGAACTGGAAAGAATTTACAATTTAGGCATCAAACAATGCCCTTCCTAAGTTCATGAATTGCTACCCATTGCTGGGAATGTCTTAGTAATTCTGTCTAGTGTTGAGCCTGGACTGTTTCCCTGTTGTTGGTACTAGACTTTTCCTTTCAGAAAAATTTCTGCCTTCTTAAATGTTTCCTGAACTCAAAGCCCTGCCCCTAGTTTCTCAAACTAGTGAAGGCTACTCTGTTATGCCAAAGCCCTGAGTACAGCTGCAGTCTGGGCACTAAACTTCTCCAGGGTACCATTCACACTGACAACTGAATAATAAATGCTCACTGGAGTTGTATAGTAAGATAGCCCTGCCTCTTTCCATCAAGAATGGGCTGTTTGCAAAAACTTCACTTTCAAAATCAAGAAGTCCATTAGCTAAGAGCATCCTAAAATGTCATTCACTATATAGGTCACTATCTCTCCCTAAACAATTAATAGAAGCTTTTGACTCCAAAGTTTTTAGACTGAATTGTTAGGGAGAGATCAAGGTCAACATTTTTGTACTTCCCTTCTACAAGAGTCTCTATGCTGGAACTGAGGCAATAAAAGATTAAACCCTGTTCTCAATCAAGTCCTGTGTGTCTAGATTTCCTCCCCTTTTCACCACCACCACTGGCAATAGCAACAATGCTATTATTACCATCACCATCATCATGACCTGCATGATTGCCTTGACCATGAACATCACCTTCCCCCTACCACCGTAACCATCTCAATCACCACTCTACACCTGACTCTTGAAAAACACAGGTTTAAATTGTGCAGGTTCACTTACATGTGGATTTTCTTACCAACCCCTCCTTCCTTCCTTGCCCTCCTCCTCAGCCTACTTAATGTAAAGATGATGAGGATGATCCACTTACACTTAATGAATAGTAAATATGTTTTATCCTTTTATAATTTTCTTCATAACATTTTCTTTTCTATGGCTTACTTTATTGTAAGAATACAGTATGTAATACATATACAAAACATATGTTAATCAACTTTACACTATCAGTAAGACTTCCAGTGAACAGTAGGCTATTAGTTAAGTTTTGGGGGAGTCAAAAGTTCTATGTAGATTCTCAACTGTGTGGGGGTCAGTGTTCATAACTCCCATGTTTTTAAAGTGTCAGCTGTATCAACATCACTACTATCATCAACATCACAATCACCATCAACATGAAGGACCACTGTCATCACCCCAACAGTAATGGTCACTATCACTATAGCCATCACTACTTATTTGTTGGTTTTTCTGAGGCTCTGTGGCAATTGTCTGAAAAGCTGCCAAAGCTCTCTAAAGTTCTTTATCTTGGGAATTCTATAGGCATGTCTGCCAGCTGTCTGCTTCTGGCTTTTTTTTGCATGTGCTAGCTGATAGCCTTTCCCGCCACTTCTAGAGAAAAGGATAGAAAAAACTCATGTCCAAGTCCTGATCTCTTGCTTCCACCAGCCCAGCTATAGGCTCTGACATTGGCATCTTCAGGTTTGGGATTGACCCTGAGTTTTGTTAAGCACATTGGCAAGCTTCTGTAATATTGTTTCTACCCTTTTCATCCTATTGCTTCATTTTGTCTCCAGAGAAAACTCCCTGTTCTATTTCCTGAACCCTAGTGCCATCCAGACAACTCTAACTTGTGAAAAGTGGCGGTGAGAATTATAAGGGACCCCTGCCTTTATCAGCTTCTTTAGGTCCTTGGCTATCCTGTGACAAAAAACTCTAAAGTCAGAAAAGTTTTCTATCCACTTGGCACCCTAGTAAGAGATTGAACATCTTGGAGCCAGTTGGTTTCTCATCCTCCAGAAACAGGAGGTTTCTGCTGAACCAGAACAGCAGGGATGGATTGCCTTCACTTGGAGGATGTGTCAGTGCAATGGTGGAAGTCTTCTTTCAGTAACTATGATCCATCGCTGCTCCCTGAGTGGAAAATAGAAGCATTGTGGTATGCCTTCACAAACTACTTTGGCCACGAAGGCATAGTCTTCCTAAAGGCTTTCCATTTTCTTTTTGAACTGAATATGATCTAATACAGAACAGAGAGGGAATGGAAATCGGATTTTAAAAAGTAGGCTGGGCATGATGGCTTATGCTTGTAATCTCAACACTTTGAGAGGCCAAGGTAGGAGGATCGCTTGAGCCCAGGAATTGGAGACCAGCCTGGGCAACATAGTGAGCCCTCATCTTTACAAAATAAAGTTTGAAAATTAGTCTGGTCTGGTGGCACACAACTGTGGTTCTAGCTATTCAAGAGGCTGAAGTAGGAGGACTGCTTGACTCTGGAGGTCAAGGCTGCAGTGAGACATGATCGTGCCACTGCACTCCAGACTAGGCAATAGAACAAGATTCCATCTCAAAAACAAAATTAAAAGTAATAATGCTTTCCCTGTAGTTAGAAGCACATCTGTAGTAGAAACTAGAAGCAAAAAATTGAAACAGTACCTGAACATCTCAAGTAAATAAAAAACTAACTTTTGGTTTATCTGGATTGAATGAAAGTGGTATATAGTATAGGTGGAAACAGGGTACAGTGACTGTAAGTACAAATTCCAGAACCAAACTGCTTGAGTTTAAACTTAGTTCCTCTGCTTATTATGTGACCTTGGTTAAGTTCCTTAACCTCTTGAGGCCTCAATTTGTCCATCTGTAAAATGGGAATAATAACAGTACCTGCCTCACAAAGTCATGAGGCTTAAAATGATTAATGAATGAACAGTACTTAGAACAGTGTCTAGCACCTATGAGTTCTATTATCCCGAAAGCTGTTTGAGTTGTATGTCACTTGGCTTTTTCAGACAGTCATTGCAGTAATGTTCTTGTGAGCCCATTTCTGGATAAGAAAGAGCCAAAGCATCTACTTTAGTGCGAAGGGATCCTCTATAGTTTTTCCATCACACACTCTGAGGGAGAGGGCCTCACAGGGCATAGGTTCTTAACTTGCCATCTCTAAGAATCATCTAATATGCTTGTCAAAATTCAAGAGGTTTGAGAAAGGGTCCAGAATCTAGTTTTCACACTCCCAAGTGGTCATAAGGCTCAGGGACAAGATCCACACCAGAGTCTCTGTGCAGAGGACCCAAGCTCCAGCTGTGGCTACAACATAGGGTTTTTATTCAAGAAAAATAAAGTGAATTAACATTGCAAAAAAAAAAAAAAAGGCTTAGGGAAGTTGTAAAATGTTACAGTAGCATAGGAGTTGGCAAATTACAGCTTGTAGGCCAAACTGTACAGTGTTTTCTTTTTTCCTTACAAACAGAAGCCTAGTGTGGTTCAGGTATGGGTGACCACTTGCTTAATAGATAACTCCTATTCCCTAGGGAGTGAATGTTGGTTAGTTCAAAGCATTTGTAGTGAATCTGTCCCCCTTGCCACGGATTGGTTTACACATGGTACGCAGGAGAGTAAGACATAAATGGAAATCCACTAGAGTGTTACTGTAAGGTTTTTCTAACTCTTATAAGGAAAAAAAAGGCACTTCACAAGGATCATCCCTTTCTATATTTGAATGCGGCAAATATGATGTGGTATGTGAAGCTAGAGCAGTCCTTGCAATCATGAGGGAAGAGCCAAGAGAATCACACAGAATCCTTGTAAATGTTGCACCTTTGAATTAATCAATCTTGAGTTAATGTGTTCTAGGTTTCTGTTAGGAGAGATATAGAATTCATTATACTAATTATAATTTAAGATACTTTTATGTGTCTTTACTGAAACAATCTCATCACCCCGACCCTCTCCACAAAACTCTTCAGAGAAAGGTATAATAGAGAACAAAGTTAAATAGATGTCCCATCCTTCAAAGCAAAGCATCAAAATGAGGTCTTCTGCTAAGAAGTCCTGATTATGAACAATAAAAAAGCTGGTTAAAGCTGAGATTATTCTTAATAAGGTTTGAGACCTTAACAACGTCTTTATGAAAGATAATATTCTTTATGAACAAGGGGCTAAAGAAAACTCTGTCTTGCTAAGCTTAAGAAAGCTACTTTATATCCTGGAAAAAGAAGGAACTTCCTGGGTTCTGAGCTAGTTAATGCTTTTCTAACTAGCTTGGTACCCTTTACCATGTAAGAACAAAAAAACACCTAAAGGGCGCTTGAATCTGCAAAGTAAATTTACTATTAGGTAATCTCATTGCTAAAATTTTCCATCCTACATCTTTTTCACTAACCAATTTGCCTCCTCCTCTATCTTCCACAAGAGATCTGTTTTACTGGTCTATGTAACTGTAGTGCTTGCCATTATTCAGTATTTAACTGCTCCTTTGAAGAAACCTTACTTAAAATGGGGTTTGTCTTTAGCATGTAGATATACCACTTTTGAAAAGCCACTGGTAGTTTACTCTCTTAGAATTTAACATAATTTTTTACTTTTTCAACAGGCTTTGTAAATTTTTCACATTTGTAGAGCTTGTTTTAATTACTAATTTATATTGGAACAGTTCTCTGATTCTCCAATATCATTACTATTATTTTTGCTATTTGTATTAGTTTTCTATTGCAGCTATTATAAATTACAACTTAGCAACTTTAAACATTACAAATTTATACTTACAGTTCTGGAGGTCAGAGTTCCAAAATCAAGGTGTTGGCAGGGCTGCACTCATTCTGGGTGCTCTAGGGGAGAAGGTGTTTTCCTATATTTTCTAGCTCCTAAAGGCCATCTGCATTCCTTGGCTCATGGTCTCAACCTCCATCTTCAAAGTCAGCAGTGCAGAGCATCTTTCCATCTCTGACTTGTCTCCTTCTAAGGACCCTTGTGATTACACTAGGCCCACTAGAAGATAACCTCAGAAGTCGAGATTCCTAATCAATAGTGCTTTTTTGCCATAAAAGGTTACATATTGACAGGTTCTTGGGATTAGGCCCACCTTTGTGGGCCACTATTCAGCCTACCACACTGCTTACTATTCCTTATGCTGCTGCTACTACTGCTATTCTTATTGCCACTCATTAAAATTTGATTGTATATCAAGAGCCAGGCACTCTTCCGTGTTACATTCTTTATCTCGGCCTATAAGCCACATACTCAAATTGTCTAAATAACTTTCTTGGACAGGCTTGTGACTAAGCCATTGCTTTCTGATAAGTAAATGACACTAATTTATCACAAAATTAACAATGGCTCACAAAATCTGCATTCTACTCCTTTCTGGCACTGACTTGCATGTGCCTATGTTGTTAATAATTATAAATAAGACTGCAAACTTGTAGCTTAGAAAATGTAGTCATAAATCTATAATAATGGATAGAAATTGGCATTTAGAAATCCAGCTACATTTATGAGTGGTTGGAATTAATGCTTATAGATACTGGGTTCAATTAGCTTAGACCACTGAGACTACAGGGAATAGTTAATTACACCCAGCTTAGAAACTAGGACTTAAACCCTTGACCAAAATACTATAAAACACATAACCTTCAAGTGAGACCTTTGTCAAAAAAGGTTAATGCCCCAAATCTATCACTGCTGTTCAAAAAAAACTTATAAACTGATGTTTGCACAATAATTTCATATTCTTATTGAAGAGTACATTATCATGTAGTTTGAGTGGTACCTGTTTATTGTACTCTTGCCACTCAAATCTGTTAAATGAGATCTTTAATATACTGTGAAACACTTTGAAGAGCAGCTCTGATGTATCTAACATGAGGCCCACCAAATGACAATTCGGCACCTAAGACTTGCTAAGCATTAGAAGGGTTAGAGGCTCTTGAACTGGGTTGAACCTATTAGCTATCTGATTTAAGGCTATTTTAAGATTGGATATAATTAAGGAGATGAGCCTAGTTAAAAAAGGAAATCATTTAAACATGAATATAGAAATAGTCTAGCCCAGTGGTGCTAGCCTGTTAATTATGAACACCAGTAGCATACAGGAATTATAATGAGGAACCCATAAATCCATTTAAGCACCAAATATATCTGTAGATTAAGTATTTCCCACATATCAAACATAAATTATATTTGTGATGAGTAATTCAAGTTCGATTTTTAAAAAATCATTGAGTTCCTGGTAGCTTTTGGTCATTCTGCATTCTATAAACCATTAAGAGTTACTGTGAGAATCGATGAAATTGACATGTTTAAAATGGCTGGGCACTGCTCCCCTAGCTCAAAGAATTTGGCAAGTGTTCATGACACACTTCTACCACACAAACACTTCCATTCATATAAGATTAAAGCTTCAAAAGAGCTGCCATTTGACAGTTCTGTATAGGAGTTAAGTCTCCCAAAAGGTATGTGAAAAAGTGAGTTAAGCAATAAAATAAGGCCAACTAATTAATGCTGATGAAATCTTTCAATAGCCTTTTACTTTCTATAATGATAGCTTGCCAGTAACTAAGATTAGAAAGCCAAAGAAGGTAAAAAGCAGTTTAATTTCTTTAACTTGACTGCAATAAGAGTACTTAAATCAATAAACTAGATGGGATTGTTTTTAAGAATATTTTTTATGGAAAGCGTATCTGGCTTTTAAGTACATGCTATAAAAGTTGTATAGCACTTTACAAAAAATTTTTGCATTGTAGGGTTTTAAAGTTAGAAAGTCTCATTTGTAGTCATTAAAAAAAAAAGTCAAAACAAGAAAGATGAGAAAACTAACCATGTGGAAGGTTAAGTGATTTGTTCAAGGCTGTATAGTTACAATAGAAGAGCTTAAGCTATTTTTTTTTAAAACCACATGGTAATAGCAACAACATACGTAGTATGGATTAGATTCTAGAAAAGTGCCATGTAGGATTTTCTAAAATGTGTTTTGACTGTTACATTCAAACTAAGGAAACCTAGAAACATCTTGCAGTAATCTTACTTTCCTTAAATGAAGGAGGAAAAAAACCTCAAATTTAAATTGACAGTATGGCATTGGGTTTCTATTTAGTCATTTTCAGACCTTATATAATAAAAATTCTTTAAAAGTATTTCAGGCCCTAGCGATTGTTTTTATAACCAAATAATTGTTTACTAAAATAAACAGGTTTGTAACAAGGTGCAGAGCTGGGTATTAAGATTCATAATTCCAAGGATCCAATATTTATAAACTTTGCAAACATACAAAATCTTCCTGTCTACAGGATTACATGACTTTGGAATCTCATGGAGTTTGTAGACTCTCTTTTCCTGGAAATCTTAACCATAGTTTAAGAGCAAGTTCCAGCTTCTTGAAATGGTGTAGATTTCAGCTGTGCTGGTAGAAGTTAATGAATGCCATTTAGTATGTTTTAAATCCATAGAACCATTGCAAAATTTAGACTGATTCTATAGTTATTACTTAAACAACATACAATACCAAATCAAGAACTTAAAAATCATTACACTGGGGGGGCTAAAAGCACTTTTAGAAATGCTTATGTATACTAATCAATCAGATGACTTTTTAAGTTAGCTGAAATCTAACGTGTTGAGAGCTGATAAGACTTCTACAAATCCTTTCCCTTTTTTTTCTTTTTGAGACAGGTTTCGCTCTGTTGCCCAGGCTGGAAGTGCTGTAGTGCAACCTCAGCCTCCTGGGCTCACGCCTCAGCCTCCAGAGTAGCTGGGACCACAGACACACCTTACCACACCCAGCTAGTTTCTCTATTTTTGTAGAGATGGAGTTTTGCCATGCTGCCCAGGCTGGTCTCAAACTCCTGAGCTCAAGCAATCCGCCTGCTTCAGCCTCCAAAAGTGATGGGTTTATAGGCATGAACCACCATGCCTGGCCATACAATTTCTTTTATATCTCCTTCACACCCAGTCAAGGGGACAACCTGCTCTGCAGCTGTCTGCTGATATGTTTCCCTTATGGGAAACACTTGGGACTGAAAGAATTTCAGATTTCAGGTTTTTAAGTATTTGCATATTTCCCAGTTGAGCATTCCTAATCTGAAAATCCAGAATCTGAAGTGTTCCAATGAGGATTTCCTTTTAGTACCATGTTGATGCTCAAAAAGTTTTAGAATTTGGAGCATTTCAGATTTTCCAATTAGAGATATTCAACCTATATAAAACTTGTCCCAGCCAGGTGCGGTGGCTGACACCTGTAATCCCAGCACTTTGGGAGGCTGAGGTGGGCAGATCACAAGGTCAAGAGATCAAGACCGTCCTGGCCAACATGGTGAAACCCTATCTCCACTAAAAATACAAAAATTGGCTAGGTGTGGTGGTGTGCACCTGTAGTCCCAGGTACTTGGGAGGCTGATGCAAGAGAATCACTTGAACCTGGGAGGTGAAGGGTGCAGTGAGCTGTGATCACACCACTGCACTCCAGCCTGGTGATAGAATGAGACTCTGTCTCGAAAAACAAACAAAAAACTCATCCCTTTCCTCCAAATATTACCTGCAAAATAAAATATCGACCGTTCTCTTGTGGACTGTTCTCTTGTGTATAGTGGACTGCTAGATAATGTACTTTCTGTAGATTCCCACCGCAGGAAACTTTAAGCAGCAACTTCTGTTTAGGTCTGTTCATTCAGTCACTTAATCATACATTTAACCAACCAACCAACATTTACAGTCACCAACTATGTGTTAATTCAGTGATCTTAAATGGAACCAAAACAACAACAAAGTTTTAAAGAATTACCGTAACTTTTATTTTTGCTTAGTTTTATTAAAAAAATAAATATGTCATAAAGCTTTCTTTTTCCTTAGGGAGAAAAAAAGGAACAACTCTCATAAAACCAAATAAGCAATGGTAAGGTGTCTTAACATGAAAAAGATTAGGAGTCACTGGTTTACAAGTTATAATTGAATGAAAGAACTGTAACAGCCACAGTTGGCCATTTCATGCCAATGGCAGCAAACAACAGGATTAACTACGGCAAAATAAATAACTGTGTGGAAGCCCTGATAAGTGCTTAATAAACAGACTGATTCACTGAGACATCAGTATAGATACATCTTGCTTTAAACAACACAGAAGTTCCTGAAAAGTTTTGTGTAAATGATATAACCACAAACATACCGAAAGAGCTTGGTAACTGAAAGAATTCCATGGTGAATTCTTTTATGAAAAACCACTTTCACTTTTGTAAATCCAGGTATTTGCTTTCTATAAGGAGTATACTTAGTTGCTACCTCTCTGAACTGAGGAAGCAGCATATTCACCAGACAGTGCTCCAGCTGAGCCACTGGCACAGTTTCCAAGTTTGTGTTTCTATTAAGTAAGTAGTGTAAGTAAGGTACAGAGTCAGCCAGGGAACCCAGCTCTATCTGGCAAAGCAGGTATAGGGGTGGGACTGCCATCTACCAATAATTCCGGCAAATACTTTTGCGAATCTACTTTGTGCAAACACAGTAATAAAACTTATCAATTTGGCTGCAGATGTACTTCCTTTTTCTAAAACTTTCAGTCATAAGCTAGGTCTGGAACCCCAAAAGAAAATAATACTTCTAATCCTCAAAACTGGCTTTAACCAAATTTGCTGCCCAACTCCTTCAAACTGGAATGGATGATAATGAAAGAGACTGAGTTTTCCAAAGCTGAAGTTTAACAACACAAAAATTGCCTTTCATATCACTAGTTAGTGAAAAATTTTGGGGGTGACAAAAATTTTTCAAATGGTTGTTTTCTTTTTGTTATTGTTTTTTTTTAACTTCCTCTAAACAGAACTCTGAATTCTTGGGCAAAATCTGCAGAAGTTAGTCACTGATGTTTTCTGGTTGGTTGATATATTTCAGTTCTGCTGATAGAAATAAAATTTCTTTCCACCCGACAGAATTTCATGAACTTATACTATACCAAAGCAGTGATGCTTTAGACAGAAAATATGCATGGTAGTACTATTTCCAGTCAGTTTTATCAAATGTAAATAAATAAACAGAATCCTCATTTTGCTCACAGCCTCCATTCCATTTGGCCAACTTCTACCAGACCCAAGCCACATTTAAATTAGGCTGTTCAGTTTTTTTTATTTAATGCTCCTAATAACATTGCTATCTATATGTACAAGTGTGAATGAAAAGAGCATGTAATCTGCAGTCTTTTCCACACTGAGTACACTAACAATTAGTAAACAATTAAAGAGTAAGTGGTCATTTAAAAAAAACAAACAAAAAAAAATTTCTAGCACTTTAAAAAATGGGTCTGAAAAGTGCCCTATTAATGTCCAATGCTGTTCCCCACCCAGTCCCACCCATTCAAAACCTGCTACAAATGCTGGATTGAGTTCATATCAAATAATTTAGCAGTACCAAGATTTTTCAAATGGAAACAGTGTTATTGACTTCTTCATATTGAATAACAAAATAAGGGTAACTCTGGTCATCATTAAAAATGACAAAAATCTGAGGCTCAAAGAAATTATCCACACAAGAGTCATAAAGGTCACTGGTAACACTGCCAGGATTGACTGGAGGGGGCCTTCTCATGCCATGACTGCCCATTGTGTATCTGCCAGTCAGCACTTTGGCCAGAAACATGAAATGGACTCCTTTGGAGGACTTCTTAGAAAAGTTATGAGAGTAGCTTGCCTTCTTTGCAAAATAACTGCCTTGTCCAAACATTGTAGCATGCTTTCCACAGACTCGAGGGTCAAAGTTGTGTTTGCAGATTCCATCTACCACATCCTGGGATGTTCCATGAAATAAATGTCTCTCATTTATTATCCTGTCACGGCCAAACATTTTCCTGTTCATATATTCCTTTTTCCTAATGCAAAAAGCAGAGAATTCAGAAGGATGAAATACGAGTCAATTTAACAGGAATGATTTAGTCATAAACTTCTCTTTATGGTTTTAATGAAGAGGAAATATTAAACTAGTTATTATCAAGGGCAAAATGCCATCAAAGATCCTAATAAAAGTTTAAATTTATCTTTCCACTGAAGAAAAGCCCCTTTCCTTCTTTTTCCACCAATCATTTACTTGCTTTATTTTCCATCTAAAATCTATTAAGAGTTGTCCTATCTTTTCCTTCCTCAGGATGTCCTCCTTGCCTAATTCCTCCAACCTGAAGATCTCTTAGATCCTAAGATTCCTGAAATCTAAATATATTCCCTCGCTTTGTACTACATTAGTTGGCTGACTTGAGAGACACCATAGTAAACTGATTAAGAGCAAGGCCTCTGGTGCCAGACTGCCTGGGTTCAAATTCCAGCACCATATCTTAATAGCTGCATGACCTACAGCAAGTAAGTTTCCTGTGACTCAGTTTCTTCTTCTCTGTAAAATGTAAATTGTCATAATCCTACTCATGTCTGTTATGAGGATTATATGTCAGTTAATACACGGAAAAATATGAACATAAATTGTATGCAAATGTTTACTATTATGTTCCTCATTTGACATTAGCTACAATAAAGCTCTCTTGAACTTTTCACACATCTGACTCACCTTTTATATTTCTCCCAAAGAAACTGGTTTTGGACTCTCAATATCTGCAAAATTCTATATTTAAACTCAGGCACGGTCTTATGAAAAAGATTGTAAATGATCCGATAACTTTTATCCTCTGCAGAAACAGGCACTTGGATGAAGTCCTGAGATGGATGCATATAAACCCAAGTTTCAGGGTAAAAGTTTGCTGAAGTGACCCCATCTGGGCAGATAATTTGTGATGATGAAGTTGCTTCAAGAGGTGGAGGAGCTTGTGTGGGAACCCCACCAAGTGTTCTAAAATGAAGAGGAAGGAACATTAATGTAAAACATTAAGAAATAAGTACACCTTGCATTATAGGACTCTATATCAGTGTCTACTTAATGTAATCTGTATAGCTTTAGTGCTTATTTAAAAAATAAAAAATGCTATCTATTTAAGAAAAAAAAAAGTCTTAAACACTGCCTGTACATGAATAGCCTAATATTAGCTTCCTCTGGGCCTCCTTCCTGTGGACAAAACTCTGAAATGTATAGCTACAAGGCAAACAAGCAAGAGCTGGTTCACAAATACCTTTACTTTTGAATCCTAGACTCCTCTTTATTACTTAGAGCTAAAGAAACTTTGTTATATGTTTTCTTCAAAATGTGCTGATGCTAAGCAGAAAGGATTTCATTACTAAAGGATATGTGGGTGGGAGACAAAGTAAGGCAGGCAGCAAGGAGGGAGCTTATAGGGAGAAAAAAAAAAAAAAGCTACTTTAATTTCTGTATAAAAACAAAAGTCATGGAGCAGGACCTGAACACTGATAAATATTTGACATTTGTTTCATTTTCCAAGATCACATATAGAAACAAAACCACCAACACTATTCAACTTTTAGAGCTATGAGTGTGCTTAAGAGGAAGCTAATTACGATGAACTCTAGACACCAGAATGCATATCCGTGAGCCTTTAAATTCATGTCTGTTATTTTGAACAACGATTTTAGATAAGCAGCTTTGGTAAGTTACTTATTCCTGCCTAGTTAAATGCTTGAATTTAAATCATATTTCTTGGCCATTTTCAAAACAGAGGAAAAAAAAAAAGTAGAGAGCAAGGAAATCCTGACCCTGAGACTTAGTTTCAGGGCCAGGTACTATAACAGTCATTGGCATATACTGGTCACAAGGAAGTAATAATGTGTGCCAAAATGAAATTTTCATAAGAGCTTTGTGATACAGAGACTACAACATTGTGTGAACATGTGTCTCATCTCCAAAGAGCATAGCTGACCATCTCTCTCATCATAATCATAGCCAATAAATGTTATGCACCAGTCATTTTACATACAGTATCACTAATTGTCACAATAACCCTTAAGAAGACTTGGTTTTCCCCTTTTCAAATGAAGAAACTGAGGTTTAGAGAGATTAGATAATGTGCCCAAGTATTGCTAGTAAAGAGCAAAGAAAGGATTTGAATCTAGGCTGGGCTCATCTAGGTAGTTTCTAATCTCATACTCTTTTTAGTTCCATGTATTTCACAAATTTTTTTTTTCTTTTCTTTTTTTTTTTTTAAACAAAGCTACAAAGTGATAGACAAGATACCAGGACTCCAACCTGGTTTTGCCTGACTCTCACCACCAGCACCAGCACCAGCACCACTACATTATTATCATCATCACACCGTCTTTTAAGGGATGACTTTAAAAAAAGTAAAAGCTGTGGAAGCATGACTGCTTTCTCTAGCCCCACCTTCTACAAGTGACTGTGCCTTCAATTTAATGTGCCTCAGAGTCTCTTTGTGAGACAGAGTCCTGGATGGGTGGATCCAGGGCTTACTGAATCTCCGAGGTGCTTTTAAGTACAGGGGCAGATTTAAAGTGCTGCTGGTTTCTCCAACTGTCACAACAAAAGGCACAACAGTTCTTGTCCTCTGTAGCATTTTCTCAGAGCCCACACAGATTTCTTTGGATCCTCAGTACTGATACATTTTTCTGGTACACTGGTACACTTTCATGAAGAGAGGCCTCACTGCTTTAATCAGATTTTCAAAGATCTGTAACTCCTTCAAAAAGCCATCACTCTTCTGGAGGAACGGTTGGGAAGCAAACAATATAAGCCCCTTATTTTTATTTAATAGCTATTCCCTCTATCCAGCTTTGCAAAGAAAAGGGTGAGTCCCCAGCCCACCAGGTTTTCTATTATTAACAGGGGTTGAAGTTAACAAAGGCTTCTGGTTTGAAGGAAAAAGGTAAGATTCTCTCCAAACACTCTGCCCACGAGGTTTTAGACTGTCAGCCTGTACAGCAAACCTAACCCTAACAGAAGAGATTCTGCCCTTTTCTTTCTGATATCACTACTTTGCACCCGTTCCTTAAAATGAAAGCTTCAAATATAGCTTTTCCTTTTGTGGGGGGGGATGGAGATCTGTTATTGCTAACATATGCTTGAAGATGAGCTGAGATAAATAATTCCTATCCATTCTAAGATATTAAATTGGATTATGTACATGGTAAACATCCATTCCAACCCACAGATGCTTACTTTTTAACAAGCCAACATCCTAACTGGCCTAAAACACAAATATGCATATACACATCTGTCTGATGGGCTTCAAGACTCTAGTTGCCATGGGTTAAAAATATATATTCTAAGCACAATTACAAATGTACCTTTATTTTCTGAGAATGATGAGTTTGTATTCACCTCATGGGTATTCCAAAGATATATGGCATGTGTCACTGTACCACACCAGCCTTCTCTAGAGAGGCCACGTCAAAAGGAATTGAGCTTCTATGCAAAGATCTCTGAAGAATGGATTTTCAGAATCAAAGGTCACTTTTTATAACTCTCCCTCTTTCCCCTTACCATTTTGAAGGATGTTTATTAAACCAATTTCAGCGATGAAATAAAAATTAATTCATTATCCTTTTGGGGGGAATTAAAGAAACTGTGTCAGACATTCTCATGACCATAATGTGATTGCATGGGATGGATGTTCTTTCAGCTGAAAGCACTGAACCCCCTAACCCCTAAATCTGAGCTTTGTTTGCTTATGCAGTCTCAGCTCAAGAATTCTAAGATTATTAAAGAATAAGCTCCTTTTTATCAGCCCCATTAGAAAGCAGGAGAGACCTTTTAAAAAATAGCTGAATTTGCAGGAAATTCATAAATTAACGTCAATCTCCTACCCTACCCCTTCCACTCTTAGACATCTCTGATTCCCTGAGAATTGTGGCCTCTTTAACACCTATCTTTTTCTTTGACTCTTTGCATTTAATAACAACTTAAAAACCCAACATCAGGCCTGTAATCCCAGCTACTTGGGAGGCTGAGGCCGGAGGACTGCTTGAGGAAGGAGTTCAGGATCAGCCTCAGCAACACAGTGAGACCTTGCTTCTACCAAAGAAAAAGAAAGAAAAAATAAGCTGGGCATGGCGGCATGTACCTGTAGTCCCAGCTACTTGGGAGGCTGAGGCAGGAGGATCACTTGTAGTATTTTTACTGGTGAGAGGGTCTTGCCTTGATGATGGCCTGACTGATCAGGGTGGTGGTTGCTAAACTGGCAGTGGCAATTTATTAAAATAAGACAACAGTGAAGCTTGCCACATCAACTGACCCTTCCTTTCATGAAAGATTTCTCTGCTGCATGCAGTACCATTTGAAAGCATTTTACCCAGAGTAGAACTCTTTCAAAATTGCAGTCAATCCTCCCAAACCTGGTGGTTGCTTTATCAACTAAGTTGAGGTAATATTCTAAACCCTTTGTTATTATTTCAAAATTCTTTACAGCATCTTCACCATTAGATTCCATCTCGAAAAACCCCTTTCTTTGCTCATCCAAAAGAAGCAACTCCTCATGCATCCAAGTTTTATCATGAGATAGTAGCAATTCAGTCACATCTTCAGGCTACACTTCTAATTCTACCTCTCTTGTTATTGCCACCACATCTGCAGTGACTTCCTCCACTGAAGTCTTGAACCCCTCAAAATCATCCACGTGGGCTGAAATAAACTTCCAAATTTCTATTAATGTTGGTATGTTGGCCCCCTCCCATGAATCATAATGTTCTTAATGGCATCTAAAATGGTAAATCCTTTCCAAAAGTTTTCCAATTTACTTTGCCCAGATCCATTAAAGAGATCACTATGTATGGCAGCTATAGCCTTACAAAATGTACTGTTAAAATAGGAAGTCTTGAAAGTCAAAATTACTCCTTGATAAGTGGGCTGCAGAATGGATTTTGTATAGCAGGCATGAAAACACTAATCTCCTGTACATCTCCATTTGGGCTCTTGGGTGACCAGGTGCATTGTCAATGAGCAGTAATAGTTTGAAATAAATCTTTTTTTCTTAAGCAGGTCCCAATAGTGGGCTTAAAATATTCAGCAATCCATGCTATCAACACATGTGCTGTTATCCAAGCTTTGTTTTTCCATTTATAGAGCACAGGCAGAACAGATTTAGCATAATTCTTAAGGGACGTAGGCTTCAACTTAAAGTCATCACCTACATGAGCCTCTGACAAGAGTCAGCCCTGTCCTTTGAAGCCAAGCATTGACTTCTCTCTACATGGAAGTCCTAGATGACATTGTCTTCTAATAGAAGGTTGTTTTGTCTACATTGAAAATCTCTAGTTCAGCCACCTTCATCAATGATCTCAGCTAGATTTCTGGATAACTTGCTGCAGCTTCTACATTAACACTTACTGCTTCACCTTGCACTTTTGTATTATGAAGATGTCCTCTTAAGCCTCATGAACCAACCTCTGCTAGGTTTAAACTTTTCTTCTGCAGCTTCCTCACCTCTCTCAGCCTTGACAGAACTAAAAAAAGTTATGGCCGCCAGGCGCGGTGGCTCAAGCCTGTAATCCCAGCACTTTGGGAGGCCGAGGCAGGTGGATCACAAGGTCAAGAGATCGAGACCATCCTGGTCAACATGGTGAAACCCCGTCTCTACTGAAAATACAAAAATTAGCTGGGCATAGTGGTGTGTGTCTGTAATCCCAGCTACTCAGGAGGCTGAGGCAGGAGAATTGCCTGAACCCAGGAGGTGGAGGTTGCGGTGAGCCGAGATCGCGCCATTGCACTCCAACCTGGGTAACATGAGTGAAACTCCGTCTCAAAAAAAAACAAAACAAAAAAAAAAAGTTATGGCCTTGCTCCAGATTAGGCTTTGGCTTAAGGCAATGCTGTGGCTGGTTAGATCTTTTATCCAGACCACTAAAACTTTCTCTATATTAGCAAG